TAAATACTGCAGGCAAAATGATCCCAGTTCCAACATGTGATGAGACTGAGAATCTATTTTCAACTTAGAGTGGATCTTATGTTACTAAAAAAACCATTGAATTATTTTTAACCTGAAACAATATAAGAAAAACTTATTTGGAGGTGGCATTCTTTGGATAAACTAAAGACCGGCAGTGACAGTACTGGTAAGGCCATATGAGTAGTGGGAATAGAATGAAAGGAAAGTTTGACTGCCACCTTCAAAGACATGATTACAGAACTCTCTGCTATTTGGTTGTTGTTGTTTAACCATTCTACGTTCTGTGTGATCAATTAGCCTTGAAACCCATTTAAGTCAATTTTTAAAACAATGTCATTGTAAATTTGTTCTTTTTAAGTTTTAGGTTTAGCATATAATCACACTTCTAAATTAGTTGCTCATTTTCTTAAATACTTTGTTCCTTAGAAGAAAGCAAAAATATTGGTTCAGACTTACATGAATGGATCTGTTTTCAGTTCTCTTTAAAGGAGTCCTTAAAAGATCCTTAAAAGGATCTTTTGCCTGACCAAAAGATCACGAGTTCTTTTATGCATAACATATTGTAGAAAAATCTGATTAAAGTGATAATTTCTCACGTGTTACTTGCCCATGTTCTCTAGTCAGCTTTCATGGTACTGACCAACATGACAGTGTTTTTCAGTCCAAAAAAGATATCTAAAATTAACATTCCTTTGGGAAGAAGGGGTGGTGCTGGTGGTGCTCAAGGGTTCCTCCTGGCAGAATCAGGGGCCATATGGGGTGCCAGGATTGAACCCTGGTCAGATGCACACAAGGCAAACTCCTTACGACTGTACTATCTCCCTGGCCCTGAAATTAACATTCTTACTATTGTCCTTTTTTGGAACTCCATAAACCTGAATAGTGCATTAATTCTCAAGCTAACCTGAAAGTTACAGCCGTATTTCAACCTTTGAAATAAATTAGGTAACAATCTTTCAGGCCAAAGCAGTAGTACAGAGTTAAGTCACAGAGTCTTACCTGCTGCTATTTCCATCCTTGCACCTCATTCCATGAAGTGGAATGGATCTCGGAGCTGGGAAGCAGAAATACACAGCACGGCCTTTCGTTCAGGTGGCAAGAAGGTGAATAGGAAAAAATCAGTAGCTACAGAGAATCACAAGAAAGCTTCTTCTTTTTCATTGTTCAGAAATGTCATCCTTCCCCAGCATGCAAAGGCATAGTTTTATTCCATATGCATGAGTTAGCAAAAAAAAAAAAAAGACACTTTGATGAATAATTAGCCACAGAAACTTCCAGTCTAATAGAGCAGACAGCATGCCAGAAGTTCACTAATCTTTCCTGAAACAATATCAGAATAAGACAGAAAGAAATGTTACTCTCTCCCATAGATGCATTGGGAATGTAAAGTAGACATGAGTGGAGTCTGGCTCACCTCCACAGACAAAGATGAAGTATCAGGTCCAGCAGGAAAAGGACAATTAGCATGTCACTCTAAAGCAGAAGAGCAGCAGGTGGCGGCGGGGGGGGGGGGGGGACGGGGGGGGGGGGGAACGGGGAGACAGGGATTCTAGGAACAAGAAATCATTCCTGGTCTTTAAAGCAGGAAGAGCTTTAACACAAGGAAGGATGTGCCAGTGGAATCCAGTGAGGGGGATCAAAAAATAGTTTGTAAGATTTGATATCTAGAAATGTCTAGAATAAGAAACTGACCTTTTTGATAGCTTCAGTCCAGTGGATGGAGCTCCAAATACTCAGTAAACTGGCTTCAATTTGATTCAGTTCAAAGTGAACTGAGAAACAAGTGTGATTTGCCATTGCTTACCTTAATGAGGTAGATGATGAGAGACTAGAGAAAGTTCTCAGCCATTCTGTTGGGAAACAGTCTTGAAGGGGAAATACTTTCAAAACAGAATTTAATGCTGAGTCAAACCAATGAAGTTGAGAGGAGAATAGTGAACTGAAAACATTTCAGGTATTTCCTGTCTTTAAGAGGTCATGGTTTACACACGCATTTATCTTTAGTCAAAAGAAGAGTGTAATCGCTCCTAGGTAGCACCAAGTCATTGAAACCAAAGATTTTCTAGTCACCCATGATGATTTCAAGTATGCAGGTGTTGGAGAACTGTGACTACTAGATGGTCATAGGCCAGAATAGATCTCTTCATTTCACCAAGGTTATCTCTGGAGTTGCCCATGAGATCCACTCTGCTAGAGTAACAACACTCCAAGAATTTTATTGTCTGATGTTGAAACACAGCATGAGCTTTCTAACCAGAGAGGACATGAGAGCAATGCCCAAGGGGGACATTGACTCAAAATAGGATGTCTGAAAGGCCAGTGTTAGGATTCTATTACATCCTGAGGGGAAAATTAGGGGCCACACCTGGCTGTGCTTACTTCTGGCAGGGCTTGATCCTGCGGTGGCCTTGGGCAAGGCATTTGCCTTACTCAGACAGTTCTATTACTTTTATAAAATTCCAAGTTATGCATGAAAATCAAAATTTCACTTAGCTCATTCGTACCTCACTGTGAACACATTTCAGAACTTTCATAGTCAGAATCAGAATGTAGGCCAGAGCCCAGGGAAAAGCATGAAAGAAGGGGTGTGTGAGCGAGCGAGCTCTCTGCAGCTGCAAGAAAGAAGCTCCACAGAGCTCCCTCGGAGAGCGCCCACACCCAGGCAAGTCATTGATTCACGGCAGCAGTGAGTTTTTATCTTGAAATCTATAAGAAACTGCTGAGAGGAAGAAGGGTAGCAAGAGGTAAAGTAAGATTTGTGTGGCTTCCAAATACACTAAACATGTTACTGAAACCCCCAGGTTGTGTATCAACTGGCTGGGGATTACAGCTGGGGATTAATTCAGATTCATGTACAAATCTAAGCTCCCGTGTCGATACTGAGTTACTGAAGAAATGGCTTGTTGGACAGTGCTTTAGTGCCATCCAGAGACTAGGATTAATAAAGCGTTTTCGAGGGGATCAGAGGTTCTTGGGTGACTAGTGTCTAAATTCTTAATCCCTGTATACTCATCTGATCCTTTATTTAGTATCATGACTCATCACCAGGCATGCCGTGTGATATGTTTTCTCTGACCAGACCCAGGCGAATACAGCACATCTGTTTGTATAGGCCAAAGGATCCCAGATTCATTTGGCTCAGTGGCCTCTGTTACCAGTTTAGCTGAATAGGCTTTGGGCATCATAGGAGCATAAATCTATCATTATGCAATCCTAGTGTTGCTAAACTAAAATTTAATTTAAAAATAAGATGTTTCCTTGGAAAAAGAATAAACTCTATAAAAGATATCTCTGTGCTTTAGGCCATGTAGAGGGGCTGTATCTTAGAAGGAACAAAATATTCCATGACAGAATAGCAAAGACTGACATTTAGAAATCATATTGAAGACACAGATTTCCAAATGCAAAGAGACATGCACCAGTGCATTAAATTAACAAAAGTCAAAGGGGAAAAAAGTTGCTAGGGAAAAATATGTCACAAAGGAACCTCAATCAGGCCATCACCAGATTTCTCAGCAGAAATCCTATGAAACGGGAGACAGTGGAATGGTCCTCCGAATTCTAAAAGATAAAATCTCCCAGCAGAGAATGCTGTGCCTTGAAGAATTATTCAAATCTGATCTAGAAATAAAGATGCTACCAGAGAAATAAAAGCTAACAGGGTTAGAGGTCAGGGATATTGATTAATGGGAGAGGGCCTTTACATATGAGGCTCTAGGTTCTAGCCTCCCTGAAATTCTTTGACAGAAAAAAAAATTATTAACACAGAACCTTGAGCATGATAATAAACTGTAACAAGAAAATAAGACAGAACTAACCTAGGGAGAAGTTAAAAGGGAAAAATCTACTCAGTGTTTTTGTGTGTGATGAAGTTGCATTGTCGACCATCTCAGACAATCTGATAAAAGACTGATACAATCCTCATAGTACTGCAAAACAGATGGGAATGTAAAACAACTGCACATACAAGGGAATGGTGGTAATTAAGCCATATTTACCAATAAGCAACATAAATGACACCACTACCTTCCATGGGGCCTCCAACCTGCAGCCCCAACTACTTAAGTACTCAAATTTGGTCTGGATTTCCTTCTTCTCCATATATTCACAGCTCACCTGGACCATTGGTTCTGTCTCAGGTAATGACCCACTACTCCCACTGCGCGTTGACTCAGAATGAGTCAGCTCATTAATGTGACTCATTTAAAAAAAAAAACTTAAGAATTAACTAAACACAAGACACAAGGATAGTGGAGATTTCAGGATCATCTAGATAGAAGTCAGTAAGGAAATAATGTCCACAAAGATTTCATAATATAACTTAGAACTTTCCCAAAATAAATGCTTGCTTGCAAGTGCAGATAGAGCCAGTCTTGACATAGATCTCTTCTATACAGGTATGTAGCTACAAATCAATAGCCCAGAAATACTAAGATGGAAATCCTACCGACACATTAAACATCTTTTCTGACCATGGTGGTGAAGCTAGATATCACACACACACACACACACACACACACACACACACACACACAAAGAGCCTCAAACAGAGAGAGACTAAGCAGCATGTTTTTGGGTGATTCTCGTGGGATGAAAGCACCAAGCTCTTAGGTCTGCGGCCTGCAGCCAGAGCCATGTTAGGGAAGTTCAGAGCAGCACAAGTTCACGCCAGTGAACAAGAACATCCGGAAATAAATCATCTGGTCTTTCTCTGAAGGAAGTAGAAAAATAAGAATAGAAATAATGAGTTGATAAGCCCTTGCTAAGGAACTGACAGAACTGGAGTCACAGCAGGGACTGTGAACACATTTGACACTATGCAAAGCCAGTTGGTGATGGTTCTGTAGAAATGGCCCTATCAGAGCCCTCAAGTCGCAGCTCTGCCAAGAATGAGAGTAATGACACGGGAACTTTACAGAGTCCTTTTACCCTTCCTTCCTCTGCCTGCTTGATCCACTCTGCCCCTCTTTTCTTCTCAGATTACTGAAACGGGAAGAAAGTTTCACGTTCATTCCTCGGTCGCGCGAAGAGCTTCCAGACAACTTTCCAAAGGAAATCCCCGGGATCTGCTATTTCCTGGAGCTCAGGACTGGGCCAAAGCCCCTGAAGCCTTCCCTTTCCTCCTCGAGAATCAAAAAGGTTTCCTACAACATCGGCACCATGTTCCTCCGGGAGACCAGCCTCTGAGGCCCGCGGCCGGCCACAAAGACTCCTCCCAAAAGCACAAGCCCAAATCTTGGGTCACGACGGCAAACGTGGAAAAAAGGTTTCGCCCCCGCTGCTTCTCGAGAAAAAGCAGTGGGGCTCCTGTGCTCTGCCAGGCAATAATCCCAGAACCAGGTGGGTGAGGACGCCAGCCGACTGGCAGGCAGGGGTCGGGCTGTGCCCTTCCACGAGTGCTGTGCTGTCTGTCCATCTCCGTGCACTTCTGTTCCCGTCGCAACCCTCTCTCCAGGGAGACCAGCGTCTGGAGCCCGTTCCCTGCATCTCCTGTATCACACACTGGTCTCTCCCTGCATCCTTGTGCTACACACATTCAGCTTCGATGGCATATTACTACATTTAGTGAGTCTGTGTGAGGAATATTTTCTAATTTTGTTTTTTTGAACAGACATTTCATATACATGGCAGTGTGGTAAACTTCCCAGCAGGAAGAACTGTAACTCAACAAAATATTTTAGGGATATTAACCTATTTTTATACATCTCTTCTTCTAGATAATTACATTTCACATATTATTCACTTTTGGGAATCTGCTACTGTATAGTTAAAATGTACGTAAACCTAACTTACCAATCTAATATAGTTTCACCTGTTTAGTGCTTGAATTGAGAATACATATAACCAAGGATTTCAGATGCAGAGAAAGCAATGTGTGTCTGCTTCATAAATGTAATCTCTTATTCTTAATTAATGTAGCATGGAATCCAGATGGAATGAAATTTCCTGATAGTTGTGTTTTGCCATCTTCTAACAAGTACCCATTAAGATGAAGTGCTTTGTTACATAGCATCATTATGAACTTAGCACTTAAAATAGAAGTAATATTTGCAACATGCTAAGCTGTATTCTATTCCACAGCACTCTCCTGAATGACAGTTCTCTTTCACTTCCCCAGCGAAGGCATAAACTCCTGGACATGGCAATAGTGAAAAAGAGGTACCCAACATCTCGCTAAGAATCTTGTTTCCTTTTGCATAATCCAAAGCAAGGGGAAACTTGTACTTGTGGTTTTGAGATTTTAAGCTATTCTTCAGTCTGCTTGACGTGGGTTTTAAAATCAGTGACTTGCCTTCATCAACAGTGAAGTAGGTCTAGCTCTCAGACCGAAGCTCCTTCACATGTTGTGCCAAAATAAACACTTGCATGAAATAATCACCTGTTCACCTGAAATTAGGAGCACAGTGCTCAGAGTTCTCCCACTTGAGGATTGTAAATTGTGAATTGTGAATTGAAGTTAATGAGTCGGAAGTGTTTGTTTCCTGGGGGGAGAGTTTTCTTACTTCAGTAATATACTCATTGGTAGCTGCTGTCAATGCTTACAGTGTATTTTTCTGGGCAGGGACTTGGGCCATGACATGACACTCAGTTCAGAGGACTGACTGGTCTCCATTGGTGTTTTCAAGGTCTTTACAAATGTGACTAGAAAACATGTGTAGATGGTCAGGGTCTCTCCCTGTTGGCTTCTGTTCTTGCCCTGACACAGCCCCTTCGCCTGGAGCTTCCGAGTCTCTGCGCTAACCATATAGAGACCCAGGCTGCCCTCACAAGAGTGTCTCCTGCAGAGGGGACATTGGGAGGTAGAATCAGTGGCAAGGAGCGATAGGCTAAACTTTAGCTAAGCTGCTGGGTCCTTGGAACACGGGCCAAAAATACGAACACTGCACATTATGATTTAGCGCATCACTCTTTCTCTCTTGGCTGTAGGTAACATGTGTCAGGTCCATAGGCTGAAAGACATACAAGAAGCAGCCAGTCTTCATTTCCTCTTTCTGTCAAATTTTGTCTGAGCAACCACTCTAAACATATGGGTATTCCTTCTCTATTGTTTGAGTATATTTGGGAAGCGTATTGTTAAAGCATCAGTGAAAATCCTTTTCATTTTCTGGTAGTAGGGCCCAAGATAAGAATTATACATACATTTAATTTGTCAGTTGTATCCCAAATTCTTTCTTAGATCACATGATTCACTTAGAGAAGAGCCGTTATTTACACAAGTTCCATGCCAGAGTCCTGATCTGTCATAAACATTTACTCTGTCTCTGAGGCAGTGGTGTGACTACTGTTATCATTTTGCCAACCTAGTACTATTTATACTGTGTTGCTATATGAGCTTACAAGGTTCTGCATAAAATGGAGGTTGTCATATGGCCATAGAGTTTCAGAGCTGTAAAGAGCATTTTGATTTGCCTACATATATATTCCTCATATCCCCTATTAGGAATCATATCTAACAATGGATGGTAATTGGTATTTTCATCTGACTATGTTCTTCAAACTTTTTCATATAGCTTATAGTTTGTGTGGCAGATAAGAGATTTTTATGTTAAAATTGGAGGAGAGGTAAAACTGGGGAAATGATCTTAGCCCACTCTAAAAGAGATGCGTTTATACAGAGGATTTGTGGGTTCCAAATTATATTTTAACATCCTTTTAAGAAGTTAATTTGGAGAAATTGCTTTATAATTAGTAATCAGTATCAAACCTTTCTATTTACATTAGTATTATTTTGATGGAAAGAAGCATCATGTGCAAATAAGTTAGTTATCTAATGAAGTGAGCAACCTCCATGTACCTGAGCATACTGCACAGTCAGTTCTCTCTGAGTCTTAGTAAATAGGCCACAATGGCCACAATCCAAAGTAACAGTGCCCCAGGTTAGGAGAAGAGGCAGGTGGGCCTTGGTTGGGGACTTACAGGAAAAGGGAAGACAGAATATCTAAGTAACAAGCACTTGGCCCAGCCCACAGTTGCCTTGAAATCATCTTTCTCTGTTAGACCCCTGTGTATGGAGCCCTGTGAGATTGACATAATACTTCCAGTATTGCCTCATGGTCTCATACTTGTTCCTGCAAATTAGTGCTTATCTAAGAAGTTTCAGAAATGAGTGCTTCTCAAGAAATTTAAGAACAATAACTTAAAATCTTATTCACAAGTGTACCAGGACCTTAATGCTGAAAGTTCCACCAATAAAACTGAAACTACACACAAATCTAGGGCTAGAGAGAAAGTACAACAGGCAGGGCACTTGCTTTGCATGAAGCCAACCTGGTTTAGATGTCCAGCACCCATACGGTGCCCTGAGCACCACTAGGTATGGCCACAAAACTAGAAATAAAAACTGAAAATACACAAAGATTTTACAAAATCCCCAGACTCTGTTTTCTAAGAATCACACTGCGGCCACTTACCTAATGTGCAGGACCCAGAGCCAGTTTGAGGCTCTGTCACAGGAATAAATGTCGCTCGTCTGGGTCACTGAAATTCTTAGGACAGGCATGTCTGTTGTCAAGGCCAAGTCTATGCCTACAGACAGGGCTCTGATTTATCCTGCATTTGGAATACTTAACCCCCACCCAAACCTGCTCTGTCTGAATGTTCTCTGGAAGCCGTCTTGTCCCATCAAACACCATCGTTTCTCTACCCAGTGTGGCCACAGAAAGGAAGAGCCACATGACTCTAGATCACTTTGACATCGTGTCTGTGAAGTCACAGCCATTTTCTGTCGTTGAGGGCCATTTTATACATACACAATCTCTTTCTCTACTTTTTTTCAGACTACAATCTGACTCTAAGCATATCCTATGATTTTACTGAGTATTCCTTCCAAGTAAATTAATTTGACTCTACATGGGCTCTAAGTAACATCAGGTGCCTTTCATCCAACAATATGTAGCAACTCAAGTCCAAGAACAGAGTCTTTATCGTAAACTGGACATTTCTATTATTTAGGCTGTAAAAAAGTCATTTCAGAGGCATATACACACATATATCTTATTAGATAGAGCCTGAAAAATATCAGAACTATTGAAAGTTTACTATATTCCAGCCTGAATTCTTTATGTCACTCTTGATATAAATAGACTTAGTTCACAACCAGCTGATTTAAGGAACTGAATACATTTTATTGTTCACTGGATAAACTGTCCTTAGCTATGGACACAATATCAGGATCCTCGTGGTGGTGAATAAATAACAGATATTAACATTTTTCAATTAACATAGACCTTCACAGAGTATACTGAGATAGTGTGCAAAATTCCTTCCTCACACTTGCTTCAATCCGTTAAAGCCAGAGTATTAGTGTCCACCATCCTGCTTTCTTCCTTCGTTCCTCTTCTTTTCATTAGAAAAATGTTCATTGATGCATGTGTGACAGATGGAGGATTAGTAGCCATCTCTCATTTTCACAGAGGTTTAGTTCTCTAAAGATGATGCATGTTCTCGGTTAGTGTATGTAATCTTGTTGAAAGCAGGTGTTCCATGGTTAAGAGAAGGGGATTCTGGAAGTGTGTGGGATGTTGTTGTTAAGGTTTTGTTTGGTTTGTGGTATGTTTTAGCCAGATTACTGCTTCAATTCAGTGCTTCACTGCCATCTCATATTTACTGAGAAATGATCCTGCCGAAATGGCCAACCATGCAGTTCATAGTATCTAGCCTGCTTAGTCAGAATTACCTGGGCAACCCTCAGGAGGATGGCGAAAGGACTTTGTTTTCAGATTAACTCAGTAGGTCTCAGGTGTGGCTAGGAATCTGTATTTAGAAAATTACTCTAGGTAATGCTAATTTACATTAGGAATCACCTAAGAGTATCAAAATCAACCCAATTACTAGAAATAAATATATGATGTCTGGGACATCAATCAAAGAGTACACTTATAGATAGTTTAGAAAGGTAGGTAGTCCTACCTTCACAGAACCATTATTTCTTTCACAATGTATGGTCTTTTTATTTGTTTGTTTGTTTTTGTTTTGTTTTTGAGCATGATTCCTCAAAAATACTAGATGCATAGAAATAAATGTTAATAAGCATGAGGGATGAATATTGCTCACTATAGGGCTATTAGGCTGACTAGAAATGGTTGTACTTTCTTAGTTACTGCCAGGGCTGTGAAGTTCATCACAGCATTTACTGATCCTCACCACTGAGAGCTATGAAGTAGGAACTTCTGGATTGAGAAACAAATGACAAACAGCCTTATTTCTGAATGCTCTGATTTTCATATTATGAAAAATCACCAACCTAATACTGTTTCATTCGTACCTTTCACGTTGAATTGTACGTTAATGTAAAAACTATTTCCTAGCAATATAACAATCTTTCAAGCAATAATTTAAGCCATGGTGATCATCATATGAAACTTGCACTTTTGTGCATAGAACTTTAGAAAAATAAAGACATGATTTACATAAGCAATAATAAAGCTGGTGTGAACTTTAAAAGATACTCATCTTTCCACTGTAG